AGGGCAGTGGGGGAGGGTGGATGGGGCCCGTGGTGGGTTTCCTAGCTGGGCAGGGGGCAGTGGTGGGGTGTCTCTGGGGGAAAGATGGGGGGGTGTCTCTGGGACGGGGGCTGAGCTGTTCCTGGAGCCCCCATCCCTGCTGGGGAATGGCCCCGGCCCCCCACTCACCCCCTCTGTCCCGTCCCCCCCAGGTGAACGGCAGCCAGGTGACCGTGGTGACCTTCTTCATCATGCCGGCTCGGACCAACAACTTCAACGTGGAGAGCCTCAAGGGGCAGGCTGTGCGCAAGCAGCTCTGGTGAGCCCCTCCCGGGACCCAGGTGTCCTGGCTTCCCGCTGCCCTAACCACCAAACCCCATCCCCCACCCAAAGCTGGGGAGAGAACCCAGAAGTCCTGGCTCCCAGCCCCCCTGCTCTAACCACTAGACCCCACTCCCCTCCCAGAGCCGGGGAAAGAACCCAGGAGTCCTGGCTCCCCCGTGCCCTGACCACCAGACCCCACTCCCCTCCCAGAGCCAGGCAGAGAACCCAGGAGTCCTGGCTCCCAGCCCCCTGATCTAACCACTAGACCCCACTGCCCTCCCAGCGCCGGGGAGAGAACCCAGGAGTCCTGGCTCCCCCCTGCCCTAGCCACCAGACCCCATTTCCCCCCGAGCTGGGGACAGAACCCAGGAGTCCTGGCTCCCACCCTCTTGATCTAACCACCAGACCCCGCTCCCCTCCCCAAGCCGGAGAGAGAACCCTGGCGTCCGGGCTCCCAGGATCTCTCCTACTCTCTCTGTCTCTGCAGGGACACAGCCAATGCCGTGAAGGAGAAGTTTGGGAAGAAGTTGTATGAATCGCTGCTGGTGTAAGTCCCACCCCCGGCTCCCCGAGATCAGCGGCCCCGGGGACAGCAGTGAGGTGCAGGGGGGGGCTGCGCCAGCCCTTCGGCTTCTCTGTAGCGGAAGGCCGGGGGTGGGAGCTGGGGAGCGAGGGGGAGGCAGGTGGGCTATATGGGGCAGGGTGCTCTGGGCTTTGAGGGGCACCTTGGGGTGCAGGGAGCTGGGGGGTGCAGGGAATGGGAGTTGGGGGGTGTCCAGTCCTGGGCTCTGCCCCCCCGCCCCCACTAACACCTCTCCGTCCCCCCCAGCGGGAACCTCCCCGACATGAACAAGATGCTGGACAAGGAGGATTTCACCATGATGAAGAGAGCGATATTCGCCACCCAGGTACCCGGACGCCTGGGTTCTCTCCCAGGTCGGGGGAGGGGGGGGTCTAGTGGTTAGAGCGGGATGGGGGTTGGGAGTCAGGACTCCTGGGTTCTCTCCCCAGCTCTGGGAAGGGAGTGGGGTCTAGTGGTGAAGCCAGAGGGGGGCAGGGGGGAGCCAGGACTCCTGGGTTCTCTCCCCAGCTCTGGGAAGGGCGTGGAGTCTAGTGGTGAGGGCGGGGGGGGGGGAGGGGCTGGGAGTCAGAACTCCTGGGTCCAATCCTGGCTCTGGGAGGGGAGTGGGGTCTCATGGGATCGAGCTGTGGGGACTGGGAGCCCGGACGCCTGGGTCCAGTCCTGCGACGGCGAAGCCTCCCCCGGCTGACAGGTGTCTGTCCGTCCTAGCGTCACTCCTTCCCCCCCGTCTGCACCCACAACATGCTGGATGACTCTACGGATCCCGTCCTCAACACCATCCGGCGTCTTGGGCTGTTTAACAGCAGCGCCGACCGCGTCAAGGTGAGCCGGGGGGCGGCCCTGCGGGGGAGGGACAAGGGGGGTGCTGCCCTGCCGGGGGTAACACCCCCCTCTCTGCCCCCAGGTCATCTTCCACCCCGAGTTCCTGTCCTCCACCAGCCCCCTGCTGCCCGTGGACTACGAAGAGTTCGTCCGAGGCTGCCACCTAGGGGTCTTCCCCTCCTACTACGAGCCGTGGGGCTACACGCCAGGCAAGGAACTGGGGCGCCCAGCGTTTGGGTTCCCCCCTGCGACAGGGAGGAGAGTGGGGCGGGCTGGCAGCCAGGACTCCTGGGTTCTATCCCCAGCTCTGGGAGGAGAGTGGGGTCTAGTGATTAGATGGGGGGGGTGAGAGCCAGGACCCCTGGGTTCTATCCCTGGCTCTGGGAGGGGAGTGGGGTCTAGTGGTTAGAGCGGGGGGGAGCTGGGAGCCAGGACTCCTGGGTTCTATCCCCAGCTCTGGGAGGGGAGTGGGGTCTAGTGGTTAGAGCGGGGGAGCTGGGAGCCAGGATTCCTGGGTTCTATCCCCAGCTCTGGGAGGGGAGTGGGGTCTAGTGGTTAGATGGGGGGGTGAGAGCCAGGACCCCTGGGTTCTATCCCCAGCTCTGGATGAGGGGTCCCTGTATAACCAGCCCCCCACCCCCGAGGGGCCGTGTCCCAGCGCCGGGCAAGGGGGGGCCCCCGTATACCCAGCCCCCGCACTCCAGCTGGTGGGTGTCCATGGGCCATCACGCTCTGTGGTTTCGGACATAGGTTGTTCAGAAGCGGGCTACAAGGGCGGGGGAAGGGGGTATGTGCATCCAGCTGTTCCCGCGCCCCCCCCATCCCTGACCCCCGGTCTAACACTCCCTCTCCCCCCGCCAGCTGAATGCACTGTCATGGGGATTCCCAGCATCTCGACCAACCTCTCCGGATTCGGTTGCTTCATGGAAGAGCATATCGCCGACCCGTCGGCCTACGGTGAGTCCCGGGCCCCCCTACCCCACGACTCGGGGGAATTGTTCTCTGGCCAATCCCTCTGCCTGGGCAAAACGGACGCCTCATTTCCCGGCTGAATGCGTCCAGCATCCACGCCTGGCCCCAGGAGGGCGTGAGCCCTGCCTGTGCTAGACCGACGCGCCTGGGATCCCTTCCCCATGCAGGTCCCCCCCCTTCTCTCTGCTCAGCTAAACAGCCGGAGCTCCTGGGGGTCTCTCACTCGCAGGCAGGTTTTCCGGTCCTCACATTCTTCTCTGGCCCCCTGCAATTTACCCTTGAGATGTGGACAACAGAGCTGGGTGCAGGATCCCAGCCGCCCCAGGGCCAGCTCCAGAGGCCGAGAGACCCTCTCTGCTCCGACTCACCATCTCCCCGTTCACACGGCCCAGGACCCACGGGGTGCCGCTGATCGCCCACCACGCTGCTCCCCCAGCCTGTACGTGCTGCCTGCGTTCTCTGGTCCTAGCCGGAACAGTATTAACACGCAGCATTCGCTTGGGCCCGGCTTACCCAGCGAGCTGGTCGCCCTGTATCACTGACCCATCCTCTGCATTGGTTCCCGCGCCCCCAGCGTGTGGGTTGTCTGCAAACTTTATCAGTGAGGATTTGATGTTTTCCCTCAGGTCACTGATAAAAACGTTCAGTAGCGAGGGGCCCCACTAGAAACCCGCCCGCTCGATGGCGGTGCCCCCTGCGAGATCTATCAGCTAGCCAGTTTTTAATCCATTTAACGTGGGCCATGTCAATGTGTTATCTTCTCGTGTTTTGATCTTAATGTCGTGTAGCACCACACAGAAGTCTGAATAGGTCACCTCAGCCCCATTACCTGTGTCTTTCAAATTTCTAATTTCACCAGAAGAGATGTGACGGTAGTTGGATGGGATCTATTTTCCATAGTCCCATATTGATTGGCGTTAATTACATTGTCCCCTTTCAATTCTTTAAGAAGTCCCACATCAGCCACTTCATCACCTTGCCTGGGATCGATGTCCGATTGACTGGCCTATAATTACCCAGGTCGCAGGTTAGCTTTCTTCCAATCTTTTGGAAGTTCCCCAGGGTTTCAAGACTTACTGAAAATTAATGGTCCAGCGAGCTCCTCGGCCAGCTCTTTTAAAACTCTGGGTTGCAAGTTTTTGGGACGTGCTGATTTTAAAATGTCTACCTTTAGTTGCTGCTGTTTAACCTCTGTCACGGACTCACAGGTGGTGCCCGCTCTTGGCCCCGTGCGGTCCGTGGGGGGTGCCCCTTTCAGTGAGACAGCCCTTCTCGGGGGTCCACTCAGGGTCAAGCCCCTCCACCTCCTGGAGCCGCACCTCTCTGAGCCTTAGCACGTCTGTCTCTGCCATGGGCCCCCTCAGGGAGTCCCCTCGCTCTGGACCCCCGGGACCTCCACCCCCCGAAGGAGACGATCCCACCCTGTTCTCTAGACCAGAGGGACTCCTGCTCCCCCTCTCCAGCCCAAAGCCCCCCTGCTTCCCAGCTGGGCATCTGAGATCATGGCCCCAAGTCCCGCCTCTGTCCATTGTCTTCTCTCCAGGGAAACAGGGTTGTAAACTGGGGCCTCCTCTCCTCTCTTCTGTCCTCTGGCCGGAACCGGCTGGTTAGGTCACCGGGGTCCTCTCTCCGCAGCCCATTGTCCGCCCACTGGCCAGAACCGGCTGTGACTCCTGAGCTGGGCCTCCGAGTCACCAGTCGCTGGGGTCTCCATTCTCCCTGCCAGTGGCTGGGGTCCCAAGTTCCCTCTCCGGTCCTCTGTAACCACAAACCCTCTCCCATCATCTCGTTAAACCAGTAGCACCCAGGGAAACTGAGTCCCACCCCCTCTGCATGCCAACCATTGGAAAACCAAGCGAATACCCCATAGGAAACAAGGAAAACAAGAAACTCCCCCACGTCGTCAAAACCTCCTCCAGAGATCCTGCTGGAATAGGAAGTGTTTCATCATCATATGATCTGGCTACGTGATCTGTATTTGGGAAAAAGCCAGAACGCAAATATTTACTGAACACTTCTGCTTTTCTGTGTTGTTATTCACAATTCTATCCTGTCCGTCTAGTAATGGACCAACTCCATTCATGGAATCATAGAATATCAGGGTTGGAAGAGACCTCAGGAGGTATCTAGTCCAACCCCCTGCTCAAAGCAGGACCAACCTCAACTAAATCATCCCAGCCAGGGCTTTGTCAAGCCGGGCCTTAAAACCTCTAAGGATGGAGATTCCACCACCTCCATAGGGAACCCATTCCAGTGCTTCACCACCCCCCTAGGGAAAAAGTGTTTCCTAATATCCAACCTAGACCTCCCCCACTGCAACTTGAGACCATTGCTCCTTGTTCTGTCATCTGCCACCACTGAGAACAGCCGAGCTCCATCCTCTTTGGAACCCCCCTTCAGGTAGTTGAAAGCAGCTATCAAATCCCCCCTCACTCTTCTCTTCTGCAGACTAAACAAGCCCAGTTCCCTCAGCCTCTCCTCATAAGTCATGTGCTCCAGCCCCCTGATCATTTTCGTTGCCCTCCGCTGGACTCTCTCCAATTTGTCCACATCCTTTCTGTAGAGGGGGGACCAAAACTAGACACAGTACTCCAGATGTGGCCTCACCAGTGCCGAATAGAGGGGAATAATCGCTTCCCTCGATCTGCTGGCAATGCTCCTACTAATGCAGCCCAGTATGCCGTTGGCCTTCTTGTCAACAAGGGTACACTGCTGACTCATATCCGGCTTCCCGTCCACTGTAATCCCCAGGTCCTTTTCTGCAGAACTGCCGCTTAGTCAGTTGGTCCCTAGTCTGTAGCGCTGCATGATTCATAGATTCATAGATTCTAGGACTGGAAGGGACCTCGAGAGGTCATCGAGTCCAGTCCCCCGCCCTCATGGCAGGACCAAATACTGTCTAGACCATCCCTGATAGACGATTCTTGGGATTCTTCCATCCCAAGTGCAGGACTCTGTACTTGTCCTTGTTGAACCTCATCAGATTTCTTTTGGCCCAATCCTCCAATTTGTCTAGGTCACTCTGGACCCTAGCAGCGTATCTGCTCTCTCCCCCCAGCTTAGTGTCATCTGCGAACTTGCTGAGGGTGCAATCCATCCCATCATCCAGCTCATTAATAAAGATGTTGAATAAAACCGGCCCCAGGACTGACCCTTGGAGGGCTCCACTTGATACCGGCTGCCAACTAGACATCGAGCCATTGATCGCTACCCGTTGAACTCAACAATCTAGCCAGCTTTCTATCTATCTTATAGTCCATTCATCCAATCCATACTTATTCAACTTGCTGGCAAGAATACTGTGGGAGACCATATCAAAATCTTTGCTAAAGTCAAGATACAGGATTTATTTTGTTCCTAATACACTAAAAAACAAACAAACCCTTCTTATTGTCCTTAACTCTGCTGGTCATAGATTTCGTCTTGTGTCCTTCAGCTTCCCTTATCAATTTTCTACAATTCCCTGATTTCTGATTGCAATGCTTTATTATCACCTTCTCCTTCATTCCACTCGTTGTATATTGTCTTTATTTTGTATAGTTGCTGTCAAATCCCCCATAAGCCTAGTTGGTTTTTTAACCTACCTTCGTGATTGTGGCTTTTCAGGCCTCTCATAGAACATTCTTGGGACTGTTCCCAATGATCGTTCACATTTTTCTGTTTAAATTCTCTCTCCCAGCGGACTTAGCTCAGAAATGGGTCGAGATTTAACATAGAGGCCGGGTTCTGCCCCAGCTCTGGGAGGGGACGGGGGGCTAGTGAGTTGGAGCAGGGGGGCTGGGAGCCAGAACTCCTGGGTTCTCACTCCCTCCCCTCTCCCTCCCCCAGGGATCTACATCCTGGACCGCCGGTTCCGGGCGCTGGATGATTCGTGCACCCAGCTGACGTCCTTCCTGTACAGCTTCTGTCAGCAGAGCCGGCGCCAGCGTATCATCCAGCGCAACCGGACCGAGCGCCTCTCCGACCTGCTGGACTGGAAGTACCTGGGCCGGGTGAGTAGGAGAGGGGCTGGGTGAGTGGGGAATCCCTGGGCCAGGCCATGTGGGGGAAGAGCTGGCTGGGGGGTAAGGGGGGGTAAGAATAGCTCATGGGTCGGTGGAGTTCCCCCCCCCCCCGGCCTCCATGGGAACCGACCCCTTGGGGGGAACCTGCTGCTGTCAGAGGCAGACACGGAGGGGGGCTGGGGGGGGGGGGGGGGGGGGGCTGGGGGGGTGGGGGAGGGGGGGGGGGCAGGGGGAGGTCCTGGCCCAGCCCCCCATAACCCCCTTGTCTTCTCCCCCACCCCAGTATTACATGTCTGCCCGACACATGGCTCTCGCCAAGGCCTTTCCCGACAACTTCACCTACGAGCCCCCGGAGGAGACAGCGGTGAGTGTGAGACCTCCGAGGGGCCCGTATACCCAGCCCCCGCAGCCTCCCCCGAGAGGCCCTGTGCCCCTCCCGAGGAGCCCCATATACCCAGCCCCCACGCTACCCCCGAGGGTATTGCGTTTCTGCGCTGGGTATGGGGTCCCTGTGTCCCTGGCCCATACATTTCCCCCCCCCCCCCCAAGGGATCCGTGTGTACCCAGCTCCTTTGTTTCCTCACCTCGCCCCCAAGGGGTCCCTGCATCCTCTCCCCCAGGGGTTCCTGTGTATCCAGCCCCTGTGTGTGCCCCCTGCCCCGAGGGGTCCCTGCTTCCCCAGCCCCTGCGTGCCCCCTGTGATGGGTTCGGTCACAGAGACCCCCTTGGGACTGCCACCTGATGTGCCAAAACTACCTCTGAGCCCGTTTTCCCTGCCAGCTTGGGACATCCGAACCCTGCCTGGTTGAGCCAGACACGCCAGCCTGCTGCAACCCAGAGCCAGGGTCTGAACCACGTTCCCAAAGCTGCAGCTCCAGCACCCAGACACCCAGCTCCCAATGGGATCCAAACCCCGAATCAATCCGTTTTACTCTGTATAAAGCGTATACAGGGTAAACTCCTAAATTGTCCCCCCTGTATAACACTGATAGAGAGAGATGCACAGCTGTTTGCTCCCCCAGGTATTAATCACTTACTCTGGGTCAATTAGTAAACAAAAGTGATTTTATTAAGTATAAAAAGTAGGATTTAAGTGGTTTCAAATAATAACAGACAAAACAAAGTAAATCACCATGAAAAGTAAAATAAAACACTCAAGTCTAAGCCTAATACATTAAGAAACTGAATACAGGTAAAATCTCACCCTTAGATGTTCCAAAAAGCTTCTTTCACAGACTAGACGCCTTCCTAGTCTGGGCCCATCCCTTCCCCAGTACAGCCCTTGTTCCAGCTCAGGTGGTAGCTAGGGGGTTTCTCAGGACTGCCCTGCAGGTATGCAGTGGAGGCTTGCAGGTAAACAGAGCCATTCACAGTTCATTGAATCTGAAGCACCCTTAACAGCTTCCACTTAGTATGTTTACATCAGTGATACACGTTTATATCTTCTTCTCCCAACTCCAGACATAGAAATAACACATGCAAACAAATGGGATGAACACACTCAGTAGATTAGAAGCTTTGTAATGATGCCTTACAAGAGACCTTTTGCATGAAGCATATTCCAGTTACATTATATTCACACTTACAAACATATTTTTATGAAGCATATGGAGTGCACCGTCACCCCCTCCTCCTGAACTTACTGCCAGAGCCTTGGACGTGGCGGAGGCAGTACATGTAAAATCGCTGTTTGTCTCTGGTTACACACCCTCCCAGTACCTTTTAAACCCTATGATGTTATTTATAGGTGTTCTAGCAAAGTTCTGGGTTCCTGGTCCCTGGATGCCTGAAAACAGGATGGGGGGCAGTATTGATAACAGAATGCAGATAGCAATATCTGTTAAAGTGTAGGTGTCTTGGCATTTAGCCACCAATGCCATGAGGCGGCATGCCTCAGTTTCCCCTGCCACACAGCAGCATCGGCCTGTTATGCTTTTGCTGCTGGGCCGGGCTTCCAGCCTGTTTACAGGTGTTGCGGAGTGTGAGGGCGTCAGGGCCCTGCACCCCCCACTTCCTGCGATGCACTGGGACTCTCAGCCGGCCGGTAACACAGAAGGTTTATTAGCTGACAGGAACACAGTCCCAGACAGAGCTTGTAGGTACAGAGAACAGGACCCCTCAGTCAGGTCCATCTTGGGGGGTGGGGAGCCCAGACCCTGGTTCTGGGCCTCCCTCTGTTTCCCCAGCCAGCTTGAAACTGAAACCCCCTCCAGCTCCTCTGGCCTTTGTCTCTTTCCCGGGCCAGCATTTAGCCACCAATGCCATGAGGCGGCGTGCCTCAGTTTCACCTGATCTCTTTGTTCTCCAGCATCTTCAGTTGGCACCTTGCGGGGGGGGGGGAGAGGCCATCAATTGCCAGGAGACAGGGTGTCGGCCATTCTCTGTGCCGACCCCATCACACCTCCCTCTCGGGCTCTGCAACACTCTCACCCCCTTATCCCCCCACCTAGATACTTAAGAAAGGCATAGGGGAAACTGAGGCACCCATCCAGTATTCAGAGAAAACATTAAGAACATTCCCACATCGTCACAACAGGTATAAACTGAAAAGCAACATGCTTGTGGGACTGTCTTGTCACCATCCCTAGCATGCACAACAGTTTTTTCCACAAATCAGGTATGTCCCACATGTTCAAAGGCTTTACCATTAAACATCAGCCTTGGCAGATGTCCTAGAATCTCAGGGTTGGAAGGGACCTCAGGAGGTTCTAGTCCAACCCCCTGCTCAAAGCAGGACCAATCCCCCAATGGCCCCCTCAAGGATTGAACTCACAACCCTGGGTTTAGCAGGCTACTGCTCAACCCACTGAGCTATCCCTCCCCCCAAGTTAACACCTTTGTCTTGACCCCTCGATGAAGTAGCAAAAGACACACGATTAACAGCCAATTTCTGACGGACAGACTTTGTTCACACAGCCTGGCTTGGCCAGCGTCCACTGTATTTCCCAGTCCCTCCGGGCACCACGGTAGGAGACAGATTCTCCTGCCGCTTTGGGGAAGGCTCTCAATTCAGGCATGTGTTTGGGATTTTGGCAAGGAAAGGGTGCGCGGCAGGCATGCCTGCCCTCAGCCCCTCCCTCTGGAATCTCTTTGGGTTGGGCCCCACCTGCTGTGAAGTTTCCCTAAGGCAAAGTTTTTCATCCTCCTGCCTTACAGGCCTGGCAGGAACATCTTTCAATGGGGTGCTTTGGATTGGTAAGGTCACCCCACGCTCTGATCCCAACAGGTCCACTGGGTGGACTCTCCCCTCAAAACCTGATCCACAGGTGAGGGGTCTGGCATTTCAGATCCAGACCCTTCACCTTCCTCCTGGGAAAATGCCTTCCTACAAAAGGCGGGCAGACCCTCCTGTCCATCCTCCCCTTCCGTCTGGACTTCCCTCTCTGGGGCAGACACCCCTGTGTCCTCCAAAAGGGAAGGTGACCCTGATCCAGCTGTGGGCTCCCAGCTATGACAGACCCTTCACTGGCCAGCACAATCCCCCCGTCCCCCTCCCTTTCACTCAGCATGGGTTTGCTTCCAGCTACAGAGTCCTTGGGGGCTGTTCCCACCGCAGCCGTCACCAGGACCCCAACGTCCACCTCCAGGATACGTGTCTCTGTGCACCGCTTCCGCTCCATTACAGCCAGCTCACGCTTCTGGGTCTCAATTTGGGCTTGTATCTGGGCCTCGATTTCTTTGTCTTTTAAGTCCAGGGCTTGCTGGCTCCCTCTTTCCTTCTTAGCAATTTGCACCCTGTGCCGTTCTAGCTTCTTCTTAGCTTCACGCTCACCTATTTTGCTGACTTTCCTGCCTCTCTTTCCCTTACCCGAAATAAGCAAACAGAAAATAACAAACCAGTAACCGCTTCGTCTGTTCTCCGGCCACCCCACTTAACTCACTTAAAATCACTACCAGTGTTTCAAAGCAATCGGCTGTGCACAGATCCCGCTCGACTACGCCGCTGTGACGGGTTCGGGCACAGAGACCCCCTTGGGACTGTCACCTGATGTGCTGCGACTACCTCTGAGCCCATTTCTCCTGCCAGCTTGGGACTCCAGAACCCTGCCTGGTTGAGCCAGACACGCCAGCCTGCTGCAACACAGAGCCAGGGTCTGGTCCACGCCCCCAAAGCTGCAGATTTAACCGAAAACTGCTCAGCAAGCCACCTATCTCCAGCACCCAGACACCCAGCTCCCAATGGGATCCAAACCCCAAATAAATCCGTTTTACTCTGTATAAAGCTTTATACAGAGTAAACTCATAAATTGTCCACCCTCTATAACACTGATAGAGAGATATGCACAGCTGTTTGCTCCCCCAGGTATTAATCACTTACTCTGGGTCAATTAATAAAATCACTTTTGTTTATTAAGTATAAAAAGTAGGATTTAAGTGGTTTCAAGTAATACTTTGTTCTGTCTGTTAAGTCGCCCAGCAAAATAAAGCAAAACACAGAAGTCTAAGTCTAATACATTTAGAAACTCTTTACAGGTAATCTCACCCTCAGAGATGTTCCACTTAGCTTCTTTCACAGACTAGACTCCTAGTCTGGGCCCAATCCTTTCCCTGGGTACAGCCCTTGTTCCAGCTCAGGTGGTAGCTAGGGGGTTTCTCAGGACTGCCCTGCAGGTATGCAGTGGAGACTTGCAGGTTAACAGCCATTCACAGTTCATTGAATCTGAAGCACCCTTAACGGCTTCCACTTAGTATGTTTACATCAGTGATACACGTTTATATCTTCTTCTCCCGACTCCAGACATAGATATAACACATGCAAACAAATGAGATGAACACACGCAGTAGAGCAGAAGCTTTGTAATGATGCCTTACAAGAGACCTTTTGCACGAAGCGTATTCCAGTTACATCATAGTCACACTTACAAATATATTTGTATAAAGCGTATGGAGTGCTACATCACCCCCCTACACACACACCCCGCCCCGGAGGGGTCGCGTCTCCGTGCTGGGCGAGGGGTCTCCGTACACGCGGCCCCCACCCTGTGCGGCTGCGTCTGGGTGCTGGCGCTACCAGGCACGTCTCTCTCTCTCTCTCTCCACCCAGGCCCAAGGATTCCGCTACCCCCGCCCGGCCTCTGTGCCCCCTTCGCCCTCCATCTCCCGCCACTCCAGCCCCCACCACAGCGAGACGGAGGAGGATGACGAGCGGTACGACGAGGAGGAGGAGGCGGAGAAGGATCGGCTCAACATCAAGCCCCCGGCCATGACGGGCCCCGTCCCCGAGTGGCGCAAGCCGCCCAAGAAGGGCTCCAGCGAGGCCAGCACCTCCTCCAATGCCTCCAACGCCTCCACCCCCACCATGCCCTCCAGCCCCAGCGACCCCAGCAGCCCCAACAACTCCATCATCGAGGAGAGGAACTAGGGGAGGGGGTTCTAGACTGGTCTAGAACTAGGGAGTGCCCCCACCCCAGGCACAACGGTTATAAGCAACCCCCTTGCCGTCCCCGTCCTCTGCTTCTGGCTCGCCCTCTCAAGAACCCACCCTTCCCTTTTTGCTGGGTTCTAGATTGCTCGTGCTAGGTTCTAGATAATTCAAAACCGGGTTCCCCCCCCTGAGATGGGTATAAACATCCCCTTCTCACCGACTGTCGTCTAGAAACCCTCCTCCCCTTTGGTGGTGAGGGTTGTTGGGTTCTAGATCATTCAAAACCAGGGGTGATCCCTCCACGTGAGATAAACAAACATCTCCCTCCTGCCTCCCGTCCTTTGCTTCTGGCTCTCCCTCAGGACCCCCAAAGTGATGGGTTTGTTCCGTGTTCTAGATCAGTGGCATGGGTGTTCTAGAGTCCAGTCTCCAAGGTGCTCCAGGACCCTATGCACTATAGGCTCTGGCCTGCCCCTCCAAACTGTCTAGAACAACCTCCCTGTTGTCTGCAGCACTCTGGATCGTACTAGTGTTTGCAGCTGCCAACGTTCAGGAGAGATGGGGGGCTCTCAAATGGTTTGGGCTAGGAGCAAGGTCAGGTGTGGTCTAGAGAGAGGCCTGGTCTGGAACAGGGCCTGGCTTCAAGGTGTGGGGTTGGTCTGGATCCTTCTATAAAACTTCTCACTCAAGGATGCAGGGCAGCCCTGGATTATCATGTTTGGGGATCTAGATTGTTCTAGAATTCTGTGTATTAAAATGGGGGTCAAGGATGTAGGGTACCTGTATTGGATTCTGGAATGCAGCATCGGGTGATATTGGGGGTTCTGGAGCAGTCTAGAATGGGACCTGCTGTAGGGTTTTGATTGGATTGTTCTGGAGTGATGTGACATAACAGGGTGCTGGAGCTGTTTAGAAGGAGGGGCAGTCTAGAATGACCCTGCTACCGAGGGTGGTGAAGTCTGAAGCGTTCTGGATCCCTCTAGAACTCAGTGCAATGAAGGGGTTGGGGCCATATGTAGAAGTCCACATTGTCATGGTCTAGACCAGTCCAGAACATTGCACGGTCGAGATGTTGAAGGGTGTTGGGTGTTCTGGAGGGGACATCTCGAATGGCATCTCTGGGAAGGGGGAAGCACTGGCGGGCGCTGTGAAGAAAGGGAGATGGGTCGGTCCCTGACTTCTGGAATGCAGCTCCACCTAGATCATTCTAGAACAGCGTGTGCTGGGAGTCCTGGCCTTCTCGCAGCGTTCTGCAGCACTCCTGTGGTCGGGCGAGCATAGCCTCGGAAAGAGGTGGTCTAGATCACATTGTAGATCATTCTAGAGCACTGCGTGTAGGATGGAAAGATGCTGCCGGTGGCAGGGTTCTAGACCATTCTAGCAATGTCAGGGCAGATGCTAGAAACCCAAGCTGCCTGGCACATGTTCTAGGTTGTTTGAAGTCACTAGACACCAGCGTGGCCAGGCTAGAACGACTTGCAGGGTTTCGATCATCCTCGGCTTGGGATTCGGTTGCTGGGTTCTAGATCACTCTGTGCTCAGGCTGAGGGGGCTGCTCTAGAACATGGCCGATGACGGGGCTGCAGGAAGGCTCCAGGATTCTGTATGCGGGTGCAGTCTGGTCACGTCCCCTCCCCCTCCCAGACCTCCAATAACAGACCAGTCGAGAACCCGGCTGCTTGATATCTAGAACCCTGCTCCCAGCTGGCGCCATGTGCTGGGGAGTGGGCGGGAGGGGTCACACAGCTGGACCTGCTGCTGAGAGGGGGGAGGGGGAGGTGTCTAGACAGGGCTCCCCTTGCCCGCCAGTTTCCCAACAACCCCAAGACAAGGAAAATCATGTTTCAAATCACGTTTGGGCTGCCATCCCCTGGGCCGTGTGCCTAGGCCCCCCGCTCTGTGCCTGGGCTGGGTGCTGCACCCACGGGTGCCATGGGGCCTCTGTGGGGTGAGCCCCCCCCCCCCCCGGCTCGTGTTTTTTATTTATGGCTGTTGCAAATGTCGTCGCTTGGTTTCATTTTTGTCTCTCCCGGGCCCTAGGGAGCCGGGCCGGGCCTAAGAATAAACGTGAGTTGAACTCAGTGTCGGCAGCTGTGTCCCCCGTGGGGAGCGTCCCTCAGCCTGCTTGGGAGCCGAGTATATGGGGACCCCTCGCTCAATGCTGGGATGCGGCTGGCTATGGAGTGGGGCAGGGGCTGGGTATACGG